CCACTGCAATGGAAAGTGGCAGCTGTCGCGGTCCCTGGTCCAGCAGTGGTCCACGTCGGTCCTCCGGGTGATCGTCCGCGGTGGCTGCGATGCGAACGCACTTTTGTCGGGACAATAATAACAATGTTTTATGATACCTTTTGTTTCGGACATTAATTCATGTTTCGTGAGATTTTATTTTTAAACGAAGTTAACGTAAACCTACTCTGATGAAACTACCCTACTAATAACCGTAAGATCTAAATGTCGTCCCCAACCTAAAAAAAACCCGTTAAATATCTGAGTTTAAAAACATGTTTACATTCCGGGAATATGTATAATGTTTAGCACGTAGGCTTTCGCGACCAATATCATCCATAATAGAGGTGTTTTGGGTTAGATCGCGTCAATATATAAATGTGTCGTGAAAGCCTACTACGTGTGAAACTGGATACCCATTTTCTAGGTTCTTTCGGTAAAGTCACGTAGAAGGGAAATAATAAAATAATAAAAATTAAACATAATAAAATAATTCTCACGACGTTTCGGCCACAACGCAAGCAGCCGTCCTCAGGTGAAGAACAGGTCTGTCGGAAAGACAGAGTCTGAATCTCTGACTCTGTCTGAATCTCTGACTCTGTCTTTCCGACAGACCTGTTCTTCACCTGAGGGCGGCTGCTTGCGTTGTGGCCGAAACGTCGTGAGAATTATTTTATTATGTTTAATTTTTATTATTTTATTATTTCCCTTCTACGTGACTTTACCGAAAGAACCAAAAAGATGAATCCCTGCAGTCACGAAAGCTTTAAATCGAAATAGATACCCATTGTAATTGAAATGCATCATTACCCCCCCCCCCCGCCCGCTATGGCCTTCGCACGTGAGGATCTCACAGGTGAGCGACATCACGTTTATCCCTCTATGTCAGGAACGAAGCGGGAGGATTTCTCCGCAATTCTGGCTGTCGCTTGATGAAGCTGGTTGTGATTAGTGGCGAAACGTCGTGCTCAGATTGTAAATGTTGTGGATTTGCTCTCCAACACACCGGTGTTGCTGTACTACTATCGAGTCTGGATCTTCTGTTTGCGTGACAAGCCTTGCTAGTTGCCTGTGTCGGGTGGTGTTGGTGGCGGCTTCACCGACGACGCATTTATATTTACGCGATCGAAACACCCCCCCTCCCACCCCCCCAACTGAAATTGTGGACATGATGGTAAAGCGGCAGCGGTTTGGGTAACGCGAGCCAGACGCGCGGGGCGGTGCGCGCGCGCGCGAGGATCACAGAGACCCATCGCATTCCTGCGTGGGGCCCCCCTGCCCGCCCGCCCCCCCCCCCCCCACGTGTTACTCTTTCGTGCGCGCGCGTTCGCCGCGCCGTGCGCGCGCCACGTGGCGCCGATCACGGCGGACGCGAGAGGGCCCCTTCCCCTCCGCGCGCCGTGCCGGATGATTAAAGGCACCTTTTTTTTTTTCGTGCGCGCGTGACATGTGCCGGACAATTTGTTCCGTCGAGTGGACGCGGGTGCTTAAACTAACAACGGCGATAACGTGTTTTGAGTTTCCGCATACGGGGAATGGAACCCAGACGTGCTTGTAACGGGGTCGGTGTCTGAGTTGTTGTGTGGGGAGCGGTGGACGCAGCGGTTAGCGCGCTGCGCTACGAACCCGGACACTCGAGTTTAGTTCCCGCTCAGGGGCCCAACTCCAGTGAAGGTTATCTGAAACGGCCCAGGGCTTCCCCGAGGTCTACTCAGCCTTAAATGAGCAGTACCTGGTGCTCATTTGAAAGCTGCGTTGATAGCTTGCACACACAAGCTTTTCACAGGATGCATGTCGCATTCTCCTCGAGCATCTTGCTATAGCAGTGATCCGGGGTTCGTGGATCACTGCAGAGATTATTGAGCGAGTGAAACTCTCAACTTTTAGGCCTTCGAGGTGGCTACATTGTAGATGGCTGCACAGCAAGTAGGTTGCCTAGCTACCTGTATAGCAGATGATTGAGTGGTGGCCCCTCGTGTTAGCGTTGGTGATCTCCTGGCACTCGGGTGCGGTGTGTAAACATCGGGGAGACAAAGGCGGCCGGGGTTTGATTCTGACCACCCACGCCCTCGTGTGCCGTGTCGGCCTTCATAGGTGCTGCTACTCGCTAACAGCACTTGCCCCAACAGTACGTTGAGGCTAATCGGGGGACAATTGTCTTTGTTATGAGTTGCAAATATTGGTAAGGAATTTGGGTGCGCAACGGGTGGCATCGTGGTTACCCCAATGCCTTGTGAACACGGCCATCTGAGTTTGATTCCCGGCATCGGTTCACACCAGCGAAGACTGATATCCAGGACCCGGTCCTGGGCGCTCCCCTGTTAATGACAAACGCGGTGAAGTATGGTCTAACAACCCCCGTGACCGACACATCTTGATGAGGTCTTTATCCAGCAGTGGATTGACAAAGGCCTGCGATTTGTGATTGTCAATAATAGCAAACGTGTTTTTTTATGAGGTCGAGTCTCATGACGTCTCTTTGCCTATGCCCCTGTATGTGTGCGTGTTGAACTTCTTTCGCACCGTACGTAGGCGACCGCGCGAATCAGAGGTGCGGGGGAAAGACAACAAACTAAACACAAAAGATGTTCTAAAAAATTGTTTTCAATCGAGATGATTTAGAAGTGCATAGCTCCAGTGGCTTCCTAACATCGGTGGCTTCCTAACAAGAGCGTTCCAGACGGCCGGAGAATCGCTTCTGAAAGCGCCGCGCGATGCGGTGACCTCCGTCTTTGCTCGACGGCCAGAAGCCAGAAGCCACCGCTCCGCTGCGATGGATGCACGGAGTTCACGTGATGGTAGGTTCATGCTCCTTGACGAGATCAGCGTGGGATTGAGGGTCATTTTTAGCGAGCAACTTTGTGTGTGATGTCCGCTGTCCATATGTAGTTGCACCCAGCTTTAACTTCCAGTGGCGGGGCGTGTGGGGGGGGGTTGCAATTGTTACCTTTAATAAATTAGGTAAAGGCGCAGACCTGCAACTGCTCACACCACTGGACGCTCTAGAGGGTATGTGTCCTACTCTTAATCATAACCCATATCCCGCAATCAGAATAATTTGAGTTCATATACTGGAGGAATTCGATGAGCTATGAAGTTCTTTTTCACAGATGTCCAGTGGGGACATCTGCGCCTCCTTCACAAGCCACTTGTGTGCCTGGTGTACTCATGTCCCCGTATCATCTCCACGTCCCCATATTGTCAGATCTCTCTATCCCCATGTCCCCAGGATCTCCGTCTTCCCGTGTCCACGTGTCCTAAAATCCCCATGTGTGTAGTAGTATGTGGCCCATGTACCTATTGTCATCGTTAGTAGTTAACATCTCGCCACCGTGGCAAGATGTTAACTACCTCGCCTGGTATGCAGGCCGTGGGTTCGATCCCGACCCTGACGCCTGCTGTATATTTGAAGTTTGCGTGTCTCTCTCTCCGCGGTCGCGTGGATTTTTCTCCGGGTCCTCCAGTTTTTCCCTCCACATTTAGAATCAAATTCCTTTGTCAAGGCGCCCTTCCTCTTCTAACCCAGCTTAAATATACGCTGCCAAGCTTGGTGGTGTTCATTCAGACGCTGTCTTTCCGACAGACCTGTTCTTCACCTGAGGACGGCTGCTTGCGTTGTGGCCGAAACGTCAGTGAGAATTGTATTTTATTTGTTTAATTTGTATTATTTTATTATTTCCCTTCTACGTGACTTTACCGAAAGAACCAAGAAGATTTAGAATCAACATTACGCGTTTAGATTATTTGTCTGCTTTAAATGTCCACACGATAAGCCACTTCGCCGAGCCATCATTTGTGTTAGGCAGGCCGCTTCTGAAAAAGAGCTATACAGTCAGTGGGCCTTACCTGATAGAATAAAAAAGAAGTGTATAGTTTAGTCATCATCATCATCATCATGTTTTGGTCACCATCCAATGCTTTAATTTACAACGCCAAATCCGTTTCCTTGTCCCCAAGTCAGGGATGGCACTGGGCGTGAGCAGAATAAAGCAAACATCTTTGGCTTCCAGGAAGCTCAATGGGGCCCCTAGATTCAGCGAAAAAATACGGGGGGGGAGGGGGCGGAGGAGGTCACCGGATCTCCCGTTGCAAGTTGTAGCCATCTGCTCTCTGGGAGACGTCTCGCCATTCTTCCCTTACACAGCAGTCGACTCATTCTGAGCGAAACGAAGTCACCCGCCGTTGCCCGGCGCTATCAGCTTCGGAGTCGCCGTGAAACGAGGCCCGGTGGGCAGCCACTGCCCTGCGCGCGAGCCTCCGTGTCCCCATGGCATTGCACTCCCCCCCCCCCCCCCGTGCAAGGAATTATATGGGTGCCCCCACCTAAGCCCCCCCCCCCCACCTCCTCTCTGCACAGTCTGACTCCTGAGCACCCAGAACCCAGGGCAGTTGCACAGCCTTCACACTCGACTGACACCATCCCCATAGACACGCATCGAGGCACCAACAACTCAGGTAGATGCCAGTGGCGTAGAGTGAAGGGCCCTGGTGCTACGAATAATTAAAAAAACGTATAAACTTTTTTATTATTATCTTGCCAGGTATGGCCCTCTGAGCTATATGGCTCTTTTTCAGAAGCGACCTGGCTCACACAAATCATAGCTCAACCAAGAGGCTTATCGTCACGTGGAAATGTATAGCAGCAGCTAAATACCGAATGTAGAGGGGAAAACTAAAGGATCCGGAGAAAAATGTACGCGTCACACGGGGAGAGAGACATACAAACTCCAAATATACAGCAGTAGGCGTCAGGGTCGGGTTCGAGCCCACGACCTCCTGTATACCAGGCGAGGTAGTTAACATCTCGCCACCGTGGCGCACTAATTAAATGGGTCCCACCCCCCGTCCACCACCCCGGCCCGCCCCACGTCTGCAGTCTGCCTCTTGCAAAACCCACGTGCCCCACGTGCCCCCATGGGGCCCAGGGTGCAGTAGCACCACCTGCACCCGAAAGCTGCCGTCCCGTCGCACTGTCGCCGCAGGTGGTGGCGGCGCTGGAGGAGACGCTGACGCGCCTCGAGCGCCTCCGCGCCGGCACTGCCCCCGAGCGCTCGACGCCCACCGAGGAGCTCATCCTGCAGTACAACTGCGGGGATCTCGCGTCGCTCATCCTGAGGCCGGAGGTGAGCTGCAGCGCGCGCGCGCACGCCTCGCTGAACCGCACTCGTCCCGACACTGTGATGAAGGCTGCACGGGAGATCGTTGCCTTTTGTCGAGTCTTCGCGGGGCAGCGGTCAGCTGAGCTTCGCGAAGGAACCCGGCCAGCCGAGTTCGATTCCCGTTCACGGCCAACGTCGGCGATGAATATTCGAACTGGTCGTGGGGCTTCCCTTGGGTTGACACGGCCTCAAACGTGTGCCTAGTGTGTATACTCCAGTGTGTGAACATCAGCACTGGGTTGATAGCCACTCTGCCCCGACCTCGTGTGCCATGCCGGCTTTCACACATGCTCGTTCAGATACAACAGGACGCTGATTTGGTTTTCTCGGCGGACACCAGCCATGGCTCTGTGCTGCTCAACCACCCCACGTGTCTTCATACCCTGTCGACTGCTGCTGATCTTACAACGGAGTTAGAGGTCCTTGCTCTCAATCCTTCGTCATAGAGAGGCTGAGGCCTTACCATCGGTCCCCACGGCTGCATTATACATGCCACTGGGTGTGTAATGTCACCAAAAACATTCACCCTCGTAGCTTTCAATTAATGTGCAGCGGATGTAGGATTTTCTCGACCGGGGCGGTAAAGGCTCATGATCAGCTCTGGTTTAACCGCTTGGCCGGCTTCATCATCGTCTGTGGAAACGCCGTGCCCAAGCTGCCTTGCTTGCCGCTCCACACGGAGCCCCCTGGCATCTTACCTCCCTCTTGCCGACGCTTGCAAAGCCACGGGCCCCCGATGCAATCATCTCCGCTGGCTCCAATTATTCAGGCCATGCCCCACCTCCGGTACGGTCCATCCTGGGTTTAACGGGTCTGTACTGTGCGAGGAGCTCATAGTTCCTTGAAGAAAACATTCGAACATAGCTGCGTCAGCGGGTTCCTCTGGTAGGCAAGGATGTGTCGGCGAGGTAATGATAGGATGAGGATTTGAGAATTTTAAGCTCTTAAAAACAAAACTGCGATCTTAAAAGCATGCACCCCCAACTACCTCAAAAGAAGCTGATCCTGAAACACCACAGATACCATTCATCTCCGTGTCCACTCGGCTCTCAGGCCTCCTACACCACGGTGACCCATCGATTCTCGCAGCCAGCGCTGACACCTGTTTAGCCCTCGCCGTGAGGCCAATAAGGAAGCTGTTTCGGGAATGCGGTCGCGGGGAAACGCGGGCTACACGATCCAGCCGACACATCCTCCCTCGCCTGCCGACGGAGCCCACTGGTGGGACTCTGTTGTGTGGATTACGTTTGGGCTTCACAACAAAGTCTGGGCCTGGTTAAACACAGGACGGATCCGCCAGCATTAGTTTCTCAAGCTGACGCAGGTGTTGCCTTAAGGAGACGCACATGTATCCTAAGTTCCTTGCACAGACCGCAAAGACAAAGATCCCCCGTATAGCCTTATCAGACCGTTAGGGAAAGTACTATTAGCGAACACCTATGAAGGCTGGCACGGCACACGAGGGGGTGAGTGGCCAGCACCACGCCCGGCCGCCTTTGTCTCCCCAGTGGCGACGTTTTTTTCACACCACGTACTATTTTAAGGCTGAGTCGACCTAAGGGAGGCCCAGGGCCCAGGCCGCGAGCGCGAATTTAACTCGGGTCGGCAGGTTCACCGCACGCATACACACACACGCGCACACACACGCGCGTGCTTAACACGCACACACACACCACGTGCAACGTCGACCGGTGCGCTTTAAACATTCCCAGGGGGCCGGGCAAGGCTGGCAGAGGGCCGTCGGCACGGAGGGCATGGCCGGCCAGGCCCTCATGTGGGAGCTGGAGAAGTATTTCCGCACGGAGCTCGTCGACAAGCGGAACGCGCGCATGGCCCGGCGCGTCCACTCGCTGCTCGTCCGCCATCCCGACAGGAGCTTCTTTTTCGCGTTCGGAGCAGGTGCTGGATACGCGCGCGTGTGTTACGCACGCCCGCACACACCCAGCATACAGCGCCACATACAGACGCCAGATACACACAAAGATACACACACACACCCAGCATAAGGCGTACACAATATAGTTTTTTTTTGGGTTAGATCGCGTAAATATATACATTTGTCGTTCAACCCGCCACCACCCGATACAATTTCTCGGAATTTCTCGGTTAATATTCGCCCGCAGTATTAATCAGGGAGAGACGCTGGATTCAAACCGCGAACCTCTTTACGCGACAAGCAGCGAACGCGCTACCACCGGGCCACACCGCCGCCCCAAAACGATGATGATAGTCGTACATTTCAGCGATGCCGATTATGCTGCTGCTGCTGTTGGATGATAACGATGCTGATGATGATGATACATTTGTAAGTCATTGCCAATCCCTGGGCACTCTAGCCAACGAGCTGTTCCATATCGAGGGATTATCCGGGCCGAATATTTCCACCGAAGGAAGGGACGCGTCCGCTGCCGACGACGCGATGCCCACGTGCTGATGCGATGGCGACGGTGTGTTGGCACGCAGGACACTTTCTGGGAAACGGCTCGGTGATCGACGGTCTACGGCACCAGGGGCTCCGCATCCATCACGTGCCCCCCGATGGAAACATTGACAGGTGAGCGCGCGTTTTGCACGCAGTGGCCCCGTTGGCTCAGTGAGGGCCCAACAGATAGATAGATCGTTTATTGTCATTGTCACCAGTACAACGAAATTTAAAATGCTCACCAGTCAGGGCCTCATTCATAAATTTAAATTAAATAAAACATGAAAATAAAAATAAAATTAAATGAAAGATAATCAATTTATACTATATATAAAAACAGCCCAAGTATACCCACATACCCACATAAGGTTACATTTTGTCATTGCACATCTCTATTTCACAGTCAATTGTAAACGCTATTACTTAATAATTAATTAGCATTATTGAGTGTGGTGATCGCTGTAGGATAAAAGCTCTGTTTGAATCTGTTTGTCCTTGTTTTGACTGATCTGAATCGTCTGCCTGATGGCAACAGCTCAAACAGTGAGTGTCCAGGGTGAGAAGAGTCCTTTATAATGTTCTGTGCTTTTTTGATGCAACGTGAACTGTGTAGTTCTTCCAGTGTGGGGAGATGGCAGCCGGCGATCTTTTGGGCTGTGTTGATGACCCATCTGGAGCGCTTTCCTCTGAGCCACTGTGCAGCTGGTGTACCATACACAGATGCAGTATGTAAGAATGCTCTCGATGGAGGCTCGGTAGAAGGACACCAGCAGTTTCTGTGTGATGTTATTATTCCTGAGAATTCTCAGGAAGTAAAGTCTCTGCTGGGCCTTTTTCAGAAGCTCAGTGCTGTTGGCGCTCCAGGTCAGGCCCTCCCCAATGTGGACTCCCAGGAAGCAGAAGTCTGCCACCCTCTCCACACAGTCCCCGCTGATGATTAGTGGTGGAGTGTCCGTTTTCTTTCTCCTGTAGTCTATTATGAGCTCCTTGGTCTTTGCGGTGTTATGGAGCAGGTTGTTGCCCCTGCAGTATGCTGTCAGCCGCTCCACATCGTCCCTGTAGGCAGACTCATCCCCCCCAGAGATGAGCCCCACAACTGTGGTGTCATCAGCAAACTTCACAATGGTGTTGCTATGGTGGACGGCGGCACAGTCATGTGTGTAGAGGGAGTAGAGCAGGGGGCTCAGTACACAGCCCTGGGGGGAGCCGGTACTGAGGCTCAGGGCTGTGGATGTATGACGGCCCACTCTGACCCTCTGTCTGCGGCCCGAGAGGAAACTATATATCCACATGCAGGTGGAATGTGGAATCCCCAGGTCGCCCAGTTTTTCCACCAGTTTGTGTGGGAGGATGGTGTTGAACGCGGAACTGTAATCCACGAAGAGCATCCGCACATAGCTCCCCTGCTGCTCCAGGTGTGACAGTGCAGCATGTAGTGCTGTGGCCACGGCGTCCTCCGTGGATCGGTTCGCTCTGTAGGCAAACTGGTGGGGGTCAAGGTTTCGGGGCAAGCTTCCTATGATGTGACTCCGGACCAGTTTTTCAAAGCACTTCATCACCACTGGCGTGAGTGCTACTGGTCGGTAGTCGTTGTAGCTGCAAATGTGGGTTTTTTTGGGCAGCGGGACTATGGTGGAGGACTTTAGGCAGGTTGGTACGGTGGACTGTTCCAGAGACAGGTTGAAAATCCTTGTGAAGACTCCAGCCAGCTCGTCAGCACAGTCCCTCAGCACACGTCCCGGGACGCCATCAGGTCCCGCAGCCTTCCTCGGGTTGACGGCCCGCAGCGTGCGCCTCACCTCATGCTCCTCCACTGTGAGGTTTAAGCTGCTGTGGACCGTGAGGTTTGGTGATGCTGTCCCTTGTGGTGTCACCTCAAAGCGGGTAAAGAAGAGGTTCAATTCCTCTGCCAGAGCGTTGTCACCATCAGCAGCTCCGCGGTTGGCCCTGTAGTTGGTGAGGTGCTGGACTCCCTGCCACACCTGCCTGCTGTCGTGACTGTCCAGGCGTTCCTCAATCCTCCTCCTGTAGTCTGCTTTGGCCTTGCGGATGCCTCTCTTCAGGTTAGCTCGGGCTGTACTGTAGGGAGCTTTGTCTCCGGAGTTGAAGGCGATATTCCTCTCCTTCAGCAGTTGCTGGACCTCCCGGGTCATCCAGGGCTTCTGGTTGGGGTAAACCCGAACGCGTTTGTCCACAGTGACAGTGTCTATGCAGTTTTTAATGTAGCACAATACACTATATGTGAACACCTCCAGGTCCTGATGTTCGAAGACCCCCCAGTCGGTCCTATCAAAGCAGTCCTGCAGCTGCTGGGTGGCACCCTCAGGCCAGATGGCGACAGTTTTTGTGATGGTAGGAGCCGTTTTCTTGATGGGGGCGTATGCAGGGATCAAAAGCAGGGACAAATGGTCAGACTGGCCCACGTGCGGTAGTGGTCTAGCCCTGTAGCCTAGTTGCCCAGCGCAGGCCTAAAGGCCCAAAAGGTTAACCCTTTCCCGAGCGTATATGTCATCAGTTTTCTTCGGAACAAGAAATAAAATGACCTTATCTGTACCGAGGCTCCCACAAGGCCATGCAGGAGGGCGCGTGGCACAGTTTGGCTCGAGCTATTGTCGAGTGCGGTCGTGTCGCTACGGTTCTCTGTGGCGAGTGACAATATCTTTAGCAACAACAGCGGTGCTATGCCTCGCTAAATAAAATTAACGCTGAACTCGCTCGCGCGCGTCCCGAGATTCAGCGGTGAACGGGACCCCCCCCCCCCCCTGCAACTTGCAGTTGTCTCGAAACGGAAAAGGGGTTAAGTGGCCGGCGACAAACAAGCAGCACTTATCGAAGTTGTAAATTCTAAGAGTTGACGTGTCTATTGAATGGAGGGAGGGAAATCGATTATCGGCGCTCGGAAGAAAAAGAGACGCTGGGGGAGGGAAGAGGCTCTGATGAACCTTTCAGCGGAAAGACGAATCGGATGCACAGAGGTTGTGTCCAGTTTGGTGTTCTTCCGCCCGCACGGTTGGCTACGTACGGTGCGATAGAAGTTAAACGTACAAAACAACAACATACGTATGTTTGACAATGCGTATGCTGTCGAAGATGTTTCGGACCGCCGGGAAACGAAGGAGGAAATGAGAGTGAAGGAGCGAAAAGAAGCGATGAAGGAGGATCGACGGCACGGAATTAAAAAAGTTTGTAGGAGAGGCTTGAAGCAGAGTGAAAGAGCGAAGGGTGGGATGGATTTGCCTGTTGGGGGGGAGGTTCCAGGAGGTGGTGATGGGGCGTAGTGTATGTAATGTATGTTGAACTTCTTTCGCACCGTATGCAGCCAACAAACGACGCAAAAATCAGTTTAACAAACTCACCAGTCGTGGACAAAGCGTGCGGCCACCAACGGTGCAGCAGCAGCAGCAGATCCTGGGAGGCGAGGGGGCAGCAGCCCCTGAGTCCGCAAGCACGGCGGCTTTCCGCTGCGGGGGAAAGATGTAAACATGACTGCGGCTGGGACGGCGGTACAGAGGCACCGGGGCCGCGCAGTCAAATCGATCGATGGACCTTCAATCTTGATTTGAAGTTTTCGTGACTGCAGGCATCCATACTCTTTGGTTCTTGCGGAAAAGTCACGTAGGTAGAAAAAGAAAATTAATCGTGTTCCCCCCTTAACACAACCCAAGTCTCTTCCCGTAGCCCGTCATGCTTCTACTGCTACTCCCTGGCCCCACCTCCAGCTACGACCAGGCCTAGCCCAATCTCTATCACTACCCCAGCCCCAATCACTACCCCAGCCCCTATCACTATCACTACTCTACCCCTTATCACTACCCCTATCACTACCACTATCACTACCCCTATCACTACCACTATCAGTACCCCTATCACTACCCCTATCACTACCCCAGCCCCTATCACTATCACTACACCTATCACTACCACTATCACTACCCCTATCACTACCCCAACCCCTAACACTACCCCCTACCGACGTGACTTTACTGAAAGAACCAAAGAGGATGGACCTTCTATTTGACGTGGCAATGTCGCCTCTCGATACGGTGGACATCGGTGAGCGTCACAGCCGGACGGGAACGGAGCAGCGTAGAACAAGAGGGATGTGAAAAGAAACGCGTCACGACCGCAGGTGCTAACGCCGATCATATTTTACTTGGCTGATATAAATATCCATGCGACAAGCCACTTGATCGAGCTATCATTTGAGGCCAGGTGACTTTTGAAAATAAGCTAATAGCCCGGTGGGCTTTACCTGGTAAGATAAAAAAAACTGTTTACTTCTATTTGTATGTATATTTTTCAGTGATTTGTTTATCTTTTCTATATACTTTGTTTCTGTATTGTTTGTTGTTGTACCGTTCTGAGCCCGTGCGCCTGCTGGACATCTGTGAACAAGAGGTTTTATAGCTCATCGGATTCCTCCTGCAGTATAAACAATCATTCCGATTCTCTTCCACGGCAAAGTAAATTGCAACCGCGCGCGAAATAAAGTGCAATCCGCGCGCAGCGAATATCACAAGAAAAGGGGAAGTGGTATATAAATAAATAACAAGTAAAGCAACGCTGTCTTTTCATATTTTAGATTTCATCGGAAGGCGACCGTGAATAGACGTGCCTTGCACACACAGCAGGGGGCAGGCAATGCGCAACAGGTGGTGAACACACCGCGGGGATGGAGAGAGACGTAACGTTCATGGGCAGAGCTCGACGCAGCCGTGAAACAGCTGCGACTGGGTACAAGGCGCGTGCAGGCGTGGGGCGACGTCGCTGCCAAAATTGCCGGGGGGGGGTAGAGAAGGTGGCAGGACAGATGCTGGCGCGGTTGCGTAAGATCAACGCAGCTGCAGCGGGAACGGGGAGCGGTTGCAGCAGGTCTGGGAAGAGGCCATCATCTTACGCGTTGCGTGAAGAGGGGTTGGTGGGGGGACTGCTAGGGAAGAGTCCGGAGTCATGGAGAGGGATACGTGAACTGAGCATGCCGGTTGAAGGTGTTTGCAAAAAAGTTTTCCCCGAATAAGATTAATACGAAAAAATATATATCGAGAGCAGGAAAGTGCCGTAGCGATCAAACTGTTGCTGTTCATAAATGCTTTTTTGGGAGGGTTAGATCGCGTAACTATAAATGTGTCGTG